GAATGTGAAATCGGTTTTCCTCTGAAATTAACCGTTTAGGTTTTACAGCCTGTCAAAGTTGCAAAAAGTCAATTTTCAACTGTCAATATTTCCAAAACAGTTGAACTTAGGTATAGGATATATCACATGAAATCTGCTCAGAATTTTACATAGAATCCAAATACGCAATCACATACAGGGTGTTCCATTCCAGTGTAGATTATGGTCGTTTATCCCGGTTGCCAATTTTTCAAAGTAATCCGCTTTTTAGTTCTCCATAAACGTCTAATACGCCATCCACCGTGGGACACCCTGTATACACAATTCCCGAAAAATAACCGAATATAAGTATGTAAATTTTGAGAAAACCTGATACAGCAGAGTTCAGTTAGTTTAGTACACTTCAGATTGGAAAATAATTCAATTTTCTTTCACCCAATTTTCAACATTTTGAGGGGGCTGGACTGAGCTTCAAGTTACCTTCCCAGTAGGATTTTGTCGGAAAATGACCGAATATGGAAATTTTGAGAAAAACCTGATACAGCACAGTTCAGCACACTTCAGAATGGATAAGAATTCAATTTTGTTTAATTTTTTTCCAAAATTTTCGGGGGGCTGAGCGTCAAATTAGCCCCCCCGCAGTAGGATTTTGTCGGAAAATGACCGAATATGGAAATTTTGAGAAAAACCTGATACAGCACAGTTCAGCACACTTCAAATTGGATAAGAATCCTTTTTGGTTTCATCTGATTTCCAAAATTTTGGGGGGGCAGAGCGTCAAGTTAGCCCCTCATCTATTTTTTTCTATAACTTTGGGATCGAAACGGCATGTTCAAAATATCATTGGCACAGTAAAGCACACTTCGAGCACAGTAAAGTGGTTGCAATTTTTGTAGAAAATTCGAATGTGGGGGACGGAGCCCTTCAGAGTAGGTACTTCTGCTTGAATCTTTCTAAAACTTTAGCTTTCGCATCTATCATACTTACAACTCCATTAATTTTTTATAAGCTCCAAAGCAAACAAACAACTTTCTAAAGTTATTTATAGCTTCTGGTATTCTGTTAAAAGTCGTTCTTTTAGCTTTCAGCAATATGCAGATTAGTTTTTGGGGCTTTCAGGACATTGTGAATTTGAGACTACAACTCAAAAAAATACTCTTTCTTTGGTCATTTTTCAAATTTCAAAACACTTCTAACTTCTATGTATTTCTCAAGTCATTTTGGAGCTTCAAAAATCTAACAAAATCGATTCAAAACTTACATTTTTCTGAAAAACTGTTTTGAGTAGAAATAATAAGAAAGTTGGCAATTATTTTTCTTGAAGTGTACCCAAGTAGGTATCTATAATACTTATTTCTTGTACCAAAGCCCGCAAGAACTGGTTTAACCCAGCATTTATGCAAGTTCGCAAATAATATAATTGTTTGCACAGTTATTTGAAACGTTCGCAGCAATTAGACTCCATTGCATTCAGATCTAATTACATCTGCCACACAAAAACGAAAAACAGAATTGGGATTTTAAGCCTTCTAACATCACACAACTGTAAACAAGCTTTTATCAATTAAACTGTTGACCTTTTCTTTGCACTTTATTCCATAATAATATTGATTGTATAACAATTACTTGTTTGATTCTGCCTTTTCGGGTTCATTACGAAACCGCAGAAGATAATCGGTTTATTTTCGTTTCGAGGGTCAAACGATCCAGTGCAAATCTATTCGTACTACTCGAGGCAAAACATTTTGTCCGTCCCTCGTTTAAACCTGAATCGTATTCTGTGGGACAGGCAAGAGGATAGAGAGGGACTCGCAAACGCGTTTTTGACTTCCTCCGGAGAGTTCGGTGTGCCTTGTTGCATTGTGTGTTCAATTAAAACAGTTTATCCAATTATTTTGGGACTGGATTGGCTCTATAATAAATTGTGGCTCTATTTTCGAGTGAATAAAAGGTCGGTGCTTCTAGTTTTATAAAACTTTTAAGTAACTTTTTAGTGGATTTAGGTAATAATTTGGAAAACGTACTGTTGTCCAAAGTGCAAGGTGAAGATTTTTTAATTCAACTAAAAAGTTTCAAAATTATTTTGAAGTAGCTCAATTTCAATTCTTTTTAGCATATTTTAACAGTTTGAAATTTTTTTTGTCTTAGAGGGGACTCTATTCTTATTGAGGGAATCTTATAAAAGCAAAAAAAAAATTCTGGAGATGCCGGGGATCGAACCCGGGGCCTTTCACATGCAAAGCGAACGCTCTACCACTGAGCTACATCCCCGATGGAAATATTTTTATAAAATAATTGTATGATTTTGCTTACCTATATAGCTAGTTTTATACAGGGTGTCCACTTCAGATGATAATATCACTATTATTGCCATTTGCCATAAAACAGTTGTGTATTATTTTGCTTATAATATAGCTAGTATTATACAGAGTGTTCACTTCTATTGATATTTCTGTAACAATAAAATAGTTGTATTGTTTATTTGCTATTATATAGCTAGTTTTATACAGGGTGTTTAATTCAGATTATACAGCTATTATTGCCATTTCTGTATTGATCAGAGCTGCGAGTCTTTTTAAACTTTTGTTATCGCCAAATTAATTTATTGTTCAGTTTGTAATATACAGGATGCTCAAATTTGCTGTACATGGGTCATAATAGTTTGACCATCCCAAAATTCACAATTTGCATTTTTTTACCATCGGGGATGTAGCTCAGTGGTAGAGCGTTCGCTTTGCATGTGAAAGGCCCCGGGTTCGATCCCCGGCATCTCCAATATTTTTTTTTTCTTCTTTTCTTCTTTTACATAATTTCCACAACTTAGCGAAATCGCTTACAACGTTTTCAGAATCGCATTTTGAGGGAAGTTCTGTTAGAATCCAGGTACGCCAGAATAAGGGACATGCATGCGCAAGCATGTATTCCTATCTCTGACTGGATGAAATTAGCGAAAAATTCTATAGGCACCAAGCTCAAGGTTCCCCTCTAAAACACAGAATGACTGCAACGAGATATGATCCAGACAACCCATTATCATGGTCTACCATACAAGAATTTACCAATCTATTTTGAACCCCTATGAACACCTCCCTATCCCAATAAACCTGCTACTCACACACCCAAATTAAAAAAACCCTCTCCAATGCACAGCTAAAATCTTAACGTCAAGATAAAATTAGACAAGAAAGTTTGGCGAAGGCGCCAATAGCCTTAGTCTGAAGCAGGAGACTCTGGCAATCCCATCAAGGTCTAATTTCTACCCTTAGTTCTTCTGAAAATTCCAACTAGTCAGCAATTTAGTATGTGACCAACTCCTCTCTCGCTGACTATGAGGAAACCACTCTTGTCTAAGTCTAATTGAACATCAGACACCCCAATCTGACCAACACATACCCCCAAGTAACATTTTTCCGTCTTCCAACATTATCTGCACCTATTTCAACGTCAGAATAAGTTCATATATTAGTCGTATTACGACTTCACAGCTTCAGTCGCAGTACAACGTTGGCACAACGATGCTTTGACCACGCAAGCCGCCTACGAAAATTAAAGTAGCTTACGAGTAATATGCCACCGTTCGCGTAAAGTCCTTTTTCGACTTCAACATTGAAAGTTATCTTTGGACGTCGCAACAACGTTCCCATTATGACCTATTATGGCTAGGTAAGCTTTGGTGTAGCAGGCAACGTTGGTCGGACGTTGTCATCCGACCAAATTTAAATAGGCAGCACCAAGCTTTCTGCCAACGTTAGTTCGACGTCGGTAAATTTACCAAAATTAATTAAACTCTAATAATGTATGTATGTACACAAAATAACATCACCTAACTTTTTTTAGGGGGGTTATTTTACAAAGTTACCGATGTTCCGGTAAATCGGATCAGTGAGAATCAGTGTTTCCGAGAAGACCTACTAGGTGTCTGATATTGGACATAATTTAATTGAAGCCTGAGTTCCATATTAACGCGAGATTTACTGAAAACTCCTTTCCATTGGTCGTAATCGACATTAACTATTAATATTGATCAATAGAAACTTTATTTACCTATTAAAACAAAATAAAATAGTTGACGCCCTTTTGTGTTGTTCTTTTTCCAAAATAATTTATCCACATTTGGTAGAAAATAGGGTAAATTCTTTAGACTTATTTCAAAATAGTACAGTTTAGGTCTAAATAATTAGATCTTCCCGACTTTTCAAGTCGGAAATGGTATAGCATTCCCAACGTCAAATTACGTAGGGTTTAGGTCCACTCAAGGATTCAAAGAATCGACCGAAATCTCATTCCCCATTTTAATCCGATTTTGGTCGTCAGGAAGTCCTGCGGACGTCGCATGCCGACGTCAGGTAGAACATTTTTAGAGTAATTTTACGTCAAATGACGTCGGATTGTTTGTTACTTGGATATGGGCACAAATTTTCCAGATTAGCTGAAAAATGCATGTCCCAATCCCGGTAAATTCTCCTTCATTCTCTGACATCCCTTACAATAGAGACTCATCAGGTCTCAGGATTGGTCAGGGTGCAGGTGTCGAACCCGCCAACATTTTTGTTTTTTTATTTATTACAAAAATTAATGAAAAGTGGGGTTTTTCTATGCTTTTTCCCCACAAAACGAGCGCTGCGCGCCTGCAACTCCAACTCCTAGCATTCCACCCTTATTATTCTCGAGACAGGCCAGTGTTTTCAAGTTAATGTTGTACATATATAGTTTAAGGGGGGCCTATATATCCCCCTGCCTGTAATGTAAACTAATGAATTTTTAAAATGAAGATGTTTGAGTTTGTTTATTTTCCAGATTAAAATAACCATCTAATAAGCTTGATCCATTTTTTTGCCTACTTCAACAGCATTATTTTATTTCCAAATAAACCATTTATCAATCCTGGTTTGACCCACAATTTGTTGCCAATTATTCTTCTATAGCTTTATTTTATTTCCAGATTAACTACTCAACAACATGGAATAGGCTTGACCGACAACAAACTTTTTTTTTAGCTAGCTACTCCTTCATCAGTCACAATGACCCAGGAAACTGTTAAGCTAGAACCACTAGGGGCCAATAAGTAAGTAACATTTAATTATACTACTATCTAAATTTAAGCTAGACAGGTACTTTAGGGCTAATGTTATATTTTCAGCGGAGTATCAATAAACGAAGCTTCCGAGCTTCTGGATAAGCGGTAACGATTTTTTCATATTTTTTTTTATGTTTGGTGGTGGAAGGTGATGGCAATTTGGAGCAAATTATAGATATCACTCGCTTTTATTGTAGATTGCAGTAAAATTTTTAATAGTTACTTGTTTATAAAATGTGACTCTGTTAACTTCCTAGGCTCTAAAGTGCATCTTTTAGTTCCAATAATTAAAGTAAAGTAAACATTCTGCCAATAATTACAAAATAACTATGCTGAGTTGAAAGTACTTATACAGGGTGGAAAATTTAAAAGGACCCACCTGGATTATCTCGAAAATTATCAAGCAATTAAAAAAATGCCGAAACACGTCGATTTTTTTTGCAAGAGGGACACTTTTTGGCTATTTCAAAATTTTCCTAGATAGCACCCCCTTACCGGGGTGAGTTGCACCCTCAAAAGTTGAATAGGGAAACTGGGTCGAGTGGTACCTCGTTTGAGAGGTATTTGAGATGACTTTACAAATCTGTATTTTTTTTCGAAATCTGATTACTAGTTTGCAAGATATTCACCTCGAAAGTTGCCATGGGGCGAAAAAGAACGTGTTATTTTCGTACATTTCTACAAGAAAAAATTGAAATTCCTGAAACAAGTCAATTTTGATTGCAAGGAAAATACTTCTTAGCTATTTCAAAATTTCCATAGGAAAGACTCACCCCTTCACGAGGTGAGTCTCACCCTCAAAACTTGAATAGGGAAACTAGGTCAAGTGGTACCTTGTTTGAGAGGTATTTGAGACCCCTTTACACATTTGCAATTTTTTTTCAAAATTTGACTTTCGGTTTCCAAGATACTCGCCTTGGAAAGTGCCATGAGGCAAAAAAACGTAAATTGTTTGTGACAAACGACATAAAAAAAATATTCACCTCTAAATTGAATATATTTTTAAAATTGTTTTACAAATTCAGGTAATTTAGATCAGGTACCTATACCTATATTATCAATGACCACCATCTTCTTCCATAGACGTTCTCTATTTTCGCCCCATGGCAACTTCCGAGGCGAATATCTTGAAAACTAGAAGTCAGATTTCGAAAAAAATTACAGATCTGTAAAGTAATCTCAAATACCTCTCAAACGAGGTACCACTCGACCCAGTTTCCCTATTCAACTTTTGAGGGTGCAACTCACCCCGGTAAGGGGGTGCAATCTAGGAAAATTTTGAAATAACCAAAAAGTGTCCCCCTTGCAAACAAAATCGACGTGTTTCGGCGTTTTTTTAATTTCCTGATAATTTTCGAGAAAATCCAGATGGATCCTTCTTAATTTTCCATCCTGTATATTTTACGACATAAAAGTTCACTTTGAAACCTAGTTATCAAAATTGTTTTATTGCACATATTTTTCCATTAAAAAACACCTACTCCTATAAATCTTGACGAACAATACAATCATTGTTTGAATAAGGTGATAAAGTAATTTAAACTAAAAATTATTTCAGTGCAATTTCACTGTGCTTACAGTGCAAAAAAAACACGCAATTGCACTTATAGGAATTATAAATCTTTAAATTTTTGTGAAAACATTAGCTTGTAAAAGAGATACTTACTTTGTATGATGATGAACTAAAAGGGGCTCAAGTTATGTTTAAACTTGATGAGCAATATGTTCATCATAAGTATTTAATAAAAGCTATACAGGGTGACAATTTAAAAACTTACAATGGCTATATCTCAGGAACCAAAAAAAAAAAATGAAAAATCGCTGAAAACAATTTCTATAGTAGGGAGGGGGAACCAAAATGATGTAATAACCAATCTGTTTTCTCTTACCCCCTCACCCTCAACCACCCCAACTAATAAATATTCTTAAATAGAAACCCCCTATACTTGTGATACCTTATCTGAAAGCTATTAAAAAATACTTTTCAATGGTACCCTACAAGCTAGGATTCGATGTGATAGTTTTTGGTTTATTGGGTAAATAAAACTTCATTCAATTAAATTAAAATTGTATTTTTTTGGACTTGTCATTTTTTTCAGGTTCCCAAAACAACGAATTAACCCAAAATAATACAAGCCTAAAATATTAAAGCCTCAAGATTAATGCTACGATAGTGACAAAAATGTTTTTAAATGTTTATTAAATTAATAGTCAAAAATTCATCAATTCACATTTCAATGGTTATATTTTGACAATTATTTACAATTATACATCCAATCCTAGCTTGTAAGGTACCATTCAAAAGCATTTTTCAAGAGCTTTCAGATAAAGTAGGTATCACAAGTAGGGGGTTGGTATTTAAAATTATTAAGTTAGGGTGGCTGGGGGTGTGGGGGTGAATGAAAACGAGTTAGTTATTACATAATTTTGTTTCCCCCTCCCTACTATAGAAATTATTTTTAGCGATTTTTTATATTTTTTCTGGTTCCTGAGATATAGCCATTGTAAGTTTTTAAAATGTCACCCTGTATATACCTACCTACAATGGAATTTTGAACATTTTTAAATAAAAATTGAAAACTGACTTATCTCAAATATCTTCCAGGTATAAATTTCAATGAGAAACAACTTCATGGCTCTCGATTATTGTTGTATTTTCCAGAAAATAAATCTTGCTGATATTATGCAAGATCAAAAGTACACTCTATTTTTGGTACATGTAAAATACCTCTAAGTGATGGACAGATGGTCCCCTTTAACCTTTTCTCTGTTGTTTCGTGGTTAAATTTAACTCGAGTAACGCGTTTAGGACATGCAAATTATCTATTGGCAAAGAGAACAAAGTTTCTAAAAATATATCCAAAGTAATAAAAGACAATTATTTACGCTATTATGTTTAAATGTTAAATGTAGCCTATAGAAAAAAAATAAACGCTTATTCAACATCATTCTCACCCATTGATTAATCAAAAATCTAATATTCTAGAGATCCCAACAGAACCGAAAATGGCTTAGGAGACGAGTACGATCCTCATTTGCACCGGGAAATCGAAAGCCCAACAACGTAAGACAGTTTTATTCAATTAACTCAATCAAATTATTGAATTTATTACAGGAATTCTGAAACCCTTATTCACTTACTAAAAGGATGCTTGGGTACTGGAATTCTGGCGATGCCAGAAGCTTTCAAGCTATCTGGAATGGTAAATGGAATCGTATCTACATTGCTTATAGGACTGCTTTGTACATACTGTCTTCACGTTTTAGTAAGCAGTATTTTACAAAACCAATAATATTTATTATTAATAATTATATTGTTTTAGGTAAAAGCCCAATATCTCATGTGCAAAAGACTTAAAGTAGCTTTATTAACTTATCCGGATTCTATGAAAGTTGCCTGCGAAATGGGACCACCGTTTCTTAGAGGGTTTGCACCATTTGCACCGTAAATAGTATTACATTTAATTGCCATTTAAATTAATTGTTGTTTTTTTTTTAAGTGGTTTAACAAACTTCTTCCTAATCTTCTACCAAATGGGCATCTGTTGCGTCTACGTGGTGTTCGTAGGCAAAAATCTGAAATACGTCGGAGACGTCTACACTAGTCAGAAACTGAGCCTCATCGTTTACATGCTTATAGTTTTTGTACCTTTCGTGCTGATTATTTGCATTAAGAATCTCAAATTGCTAGCCCCTTTTTCGATTTTAGCTAATATCATTACTTTGATTACTTTCGGGGTAGTTTGCTATTATATTTTCCAAAACCTGGACAATTTCAGCGATAGACCTGCAGTTGGAAACTTGGCTGATTATCCCTTGTACTTTGGCACGACTTTATTTTCTTTACAGGCTGTAGGAGTGGTAAGTTTTGGATTTATAGGCTTTATTATAATGTATTAGGATTATTATTTTTGATAGGTAATAGCTTTGGAAAATAATATGGCAACCCCTAAAAGCTTCAGAGAACCATTTGGTGTCTTAAACATTGGTATGGGTATCGTTACTGTGATATATGTGGGTATGGGTATGATGGGCTATTGGCGTTACGGAGAAATTATTGAATCTAGTATTACGATGAATTTTCCTATTAAAGAAGTGTAAATATATTAACATGATTGATTTGATTATGTACAATTGCAAATTTTTGTTGTAGGCTAGCTCAAGTGATTATAATCTCATATTCAATAGCAATTTACATTTCCTATGGGCTTCAAGGCTTCGTTCCCGTCCAAATTATGTGGTCCAACTATATAGCAAAAAGAGTTGAGGACGTTAATGAGAAAAAAAAGGCCTTTTACGAATATTTGTTGAGAATTGTATGCGTTATTCTTACCTGTAAGTTAAAACTAAAGTTTCACCTAATGATTTTGATAATGATTATTTTTTAGTTGTACTTGCAATGACTGTACCACTTCTCGGTCTTTTTATTTCGCTTGTAGGCTCTTTTTGCCTCTCGGCTCTAGGCATTGCATTTCCAGCTATAATAGAAATCTGTGCCAATTGGCCAAACAATTCGCATCCTAGAACCTTGCTGTTTTGGAAGGATATGTTGCTGATTGTAGTTGGGGTGATTGGATTGTCAGCTGGCAGCTATAGTGCTATTTATGCTATAGTACAAAAACTAGCTTCAGGAGATTATTAAGTTTCTTCACTAATATTGAATTATTACTTGTTTCCTAAGCTGTATTTAGTAGAAAGCACTATATTTTTATATAATATATTTTCAGCTCAATCACTAACTTGTTGAAAACGTTCTTAGATATTTATATTATATTTTACATGGTAGTTAAGTATGTAATCTGTAGAATTGAATATTACTTATCGACAAATTTGTTTTTTTGAATCAAAAGTTTGTATCTTCTATATATAGACTGAATTAATAATATTGAATAAAAAAGGTTTTTTAAAAAAAAACATAAATTATTTTTAACTTGAACCACATCAGGTGCAAGTAAATATTTTTTACACTAGTCCCACATTTTGCCTAACTTAAATGGTGTGGTAAAACCACGTAAAACGTTTTCTGTTAAAACAGTTTAATGGGAAGCATAAACATGGTATGATATATCCTATTTTTTCATGTTTCTGATGTGTTCCTAGTACGAAAACGGAAATTTTGCGTTTTTCAAAACAGGAACATCAGAAATATGTAAGAGGTGAATGTTTACATTCTGTACAATTATTATAATTACATTCAAATCTGATTGAAATTAACAAAGTTAAGAGAGAAAATATATGGCAACGTCATTTTGAAAAAAAAAAAGATGACATGAGTGGACATTCTTGAGATAAAATTGTCTATGGGATAAATGCTGGAAGAAATTTTGCAAATGGAGAGCGAAAAATGATTGAGAATTAAGAAAAAAATTTAAAAATTACCTTGGGCTCATTCATTTTAATAAAAATCAAAGTCTAATGAAAAAAATTATAAAAAACTCATGTTGTTTCTTGAACAATTTTTAATACCAATAATTAATTATTATTACACATTGGTTATATCCATTATTATATATAAGTATAAGTATTAATTAATCTAGAAAATAATATAAGTTTCCATTATAATCAAAAAATCATTACCAATACAAAAAAATCTAACGTCTATTATCTCTGTAACGGTACCGGGTATCCCTCTCCCTTTCGCGCATGCGTTCGCGTTCACGCTCCCTTTCCCTCTCCCTTTCACGTTCCCTAACACGTTCACGCTCCCTCTCCCTGGACCTGCCCCTAGACCTATCCCTGGAATATTCTCTGGAACGGGATCGTTCTCTGGAATAAGCTCTTTCCCTAGGCGCCCTCCTGTCTTTGTTTTTCCACAGGAACTCTTCAACTGAACGATCGTAGCTGCGTTTTTCTGGAATTCTAGCTGCTGGGAATTCTGGCAGAGGCAAACTATCATAATACCTGATAAAAAAATATTACTGATAGTTAAATCATTAGGTAGTTTATTACCTTGATGGGGCTGGTAAAGCGTCAAATCCAGATGGATACAATCCAGGAGGAGGAACGTAAGGTAGAGGAGGCAGCTGATGTTGCATGGTTCGCATATAATCGGCTACGTAAGCTTCAGCTGCAGCTGCAGTGTATTGACGTGGCGATTCTCTTTCATAGTAAGGAAGGTATCTGGAAATTCGAAAAAGAATAAACTGTCAGCCTTTAACTACAAAAACAGATGTATTTTGAAATCTTGAAGCAATTCAAATTGCATTAACCATCTGGTAATGTAATTTAAGGTATCTCCAACCAAACTATAGCAATATATTGCTAAAAAACTTGTTTTATAAATAACTCTGCGCCAATTCCATGCAACAGGTGGTGTTTTATAAACTTCTAAGCACAGTTATTAAACCAAAATTATCAGTTGGGTGTTAGCTAACCAGTATTTTGACTTTGGTAGCATTCTAATAAAGAAACAATATTCTTATTACTAAAAATAACCTCCCTTACCTGTATTTACCATTAATACTGCCCCTATGTGTAATAAGGCTAAATAAGCAAACAAAATGAGGAAAATACATTTGATTATAAAAACAAAAATCACTTACCAATGATAATTATTTTTTTTTTGCTTGTGTATACTCAATTATATTATTCTAATACCTCATCTTTTCACAAATATTAGAGGAAAGTTTATAAAATAAATAAAATGTCTATGGAAAAAAATTATCCCAGAAAAATAAATAAATACATAAGTCCAAATTTCACGCACATTTCAAATAAATCACTTGGAATGTTCAATTATTATTGTCTTTTATTTAAATGCACAGCTGTTCACTGTTGCACAATTTTGATTGAAAAAAATTGTTCTTACCTTTCTCGTGACACTGATCGCCTATAACTTGCTGAATTTAAAACTCTACTAGACATGAAGAATTTTCTTCTAGAGTAGGAGGCACCGCCGCCTCCGCCACCACCTCTGCCGCCCCTAAAACTAAAAGGAGCCCTGGCAGATAGAGGCATTCTAGCTTTGACATGCCTATTACCATCTTTGCCTCTAAGGCTTTGTTTTTTTGAAGACTCTTTAGCCAGTCTTAGTATAGGAGCAATTTCAACTCCTTCGTCTTCTGGAAATAGGCGACAAAGCTCCTCTGCCACTTTGGGCTCAATTTCTTGACCATCTCTGCCAATTTTCACTGGTTTTCCATCGTTCCAGGGATTGTACAGGTGCATGGTGCTGGAGAATTGTAAATCTTTGCGGCAAATCCAATCAACCTTGAAAACACCACCTAAAGCTTTAGCTGAAAGACCTGCAGGTAGAACCCAAGAAATTGGAGGCACATCGTGACGTGATTCTCCATTTAATCTTGCAAAACCTGCAAACTTTCCACTTTCTTTTACTGAAAATATTAATAGGACATTTCTGGACTCTCTCCAGGCCTGATTCAAGTTTGCTTCATTTTGGGGCAAAGTTGACCAAACCCCTTTAGCTTTTGAGAGTGCAATATTCTCAGCATTGTTGGATTTAATGACGAAAAATCTAGCATCTCTAAACAAGTAGTTTACTTTAGTCAAATAGTCGTACTTGGATTTGGTTTCTTTGGCAGCATGAGGCGGCGAAGGGCTCTTATTGTTGCTCGTACGGTGTCTTCCGTGACGACCTTTTCCAGAAGAAATCGTGCTCACCGAACTGATGCTCGGAGCCGTCGAACTGGCTGAGCTCGACGAGGAAATGTCGCTCTCGTAGTTCACCTCGTCCAGTTTCATTTCGTCCCCCATATCCAGACCGATAAAATTTTCAGATTCTCGTTTACCGTTTTTATAAGGACACACTGAGAAATCCATTTGCGATAAGTGACGACATTGAACGGAAGTTTGTTGGCGTTTTTGGTTGAAATTGTTGAGGAATTTCAGTTTATGGAAGCGAAATAAATACAAGGGCAAAGGAAAACCAAAACAATAGTGGAGTTGTAGTTGCTGCAGTTTGCAGTCAGGATGACAGATAGATCATGGAGGATAGCACCAGTGTTGCCAGATTTTGATTTTGAAATTATGGTACATGAAGGTCAAAATTGTTATTTGAAAAAAAATTATGGTACACATGTACACATATGGTACACATTCATTAAACTTTAATAAACAAGCAGTTCTTTTATTGTGACGTGTTGTCCGCTGACGTGAGTCAGAATGGGATAAAATGTATTTTTCTGCAAAACTATGGTACGCCTGGCAACACTGGATAGCACTACAAAAATCCTCCATTTGTAACTTTTTAAGGGCGGGATATTTGAAAATTTTTAATTTATTTGAAGAAAATAACTATTAAACTATGCTAAAAACTATACAATTTTGTATGTTTCCCAATAATTAACATTTAATTAATAATTTCCTCTAGAATATTTGAAATAAAACTGTAAAATACATACAAATTAGGCAAAATGAAAACACCTTTTGTCAATTTTGTCATTGTCATTCAAGGCGACATGACATAACCTCACATATAAATAATTTTTGTTGTTTACATTTTACATCCCTTACAATAATTTATTTATTAAACAAAGCTTCATCAATTTTATCAACAAAATAGAAATAACAAAATGGAAAGTTTAAAAAAGAAAATTGGCTACTGGTATATGCGTTATTTGATAGTAACTGAACTTTTTATGGTAGAACAATGGGAAAGAAACATCTTTCGTATCCTTATTTGTGTATTATATAAGCTAAGCCTTAATTTAACTTATTTTTCCTTAACAGCACATTTTAGATGGCGTAGCCCTAATTTTACTAGTAATTTTGGGACTCTTTAATCACCTTTTAGTAGTCGAAGGAGTAAGACTGATAAGGCAACTGTATTACCAATACAGCCACGATATCAATGGCAATTTGACTGCAAATATGGGTCCCACATCAACAGAATTATAATTAGTATTAAATAAATAAATAAAGAATTGTTTTAAATTATTATTATTAATTTTAATTTCCTCCTTATAAAGCAAACGCCATCTATTAAAAAAAACTCGAATTTGCAAACAAAATAAAAACCTAACCAAACTTTGAGTTCAAAAATTGGTCAATAACAATGTAATAATATAAAATTTAGTGCACAGAATGCTATCAAAATATAATTGCAAGCCTCAACTAACAAAAACCCTTACCACATGTCTCAAAAGGTAAGCAAACCATTGCCCATAGATGACAAAATCAAATTTAAAACTTTTCCAGAGTTTTATCTTCTACAGATCAAAATTCTGACGCTGTACAGCCTCCTAATGAAGCCAAAGTTGTTGTTTGTGGAGGAGGTATTATGGGGGCCTCTGTAGCCTACCATTTGGGCCAATTGGGCTGGGGCCCCCAAACTGTTTTAATTGAACAGGGCCGGTAAGAATTTATGTTAGTGCTATGAATAAAAAACATCCTTGTTGCTAGTTTAATGTTTAACTTTCTATGCCTGAAAATCTCCATGGATTTGGTGCTCATATTTTTGACTACCAATCATTTGGTATAGCATTTTCACATTTTTTATTGGGTTCTTGAGGCCTGAAGAAGTTTTAGAATGATTTCAGCAAACATCATATTTCATAAATATTAATAGGTAAGTAATCACAATTGAATGCTCTACAAGATAATACAGCATTGAATCCAATTTCCCAAATATTTTTGAAGATATAGGGCTTCAAAGATGAAGGTTTGTATCATATTTTGCAAAAATTTCTTAGGTGATTATCTAGGGATTAAGCAACAGGTCTTGGTGCACCAAATAGTCTTTTTTGTAGCCCTAAGGGTCAAATTATGGACTCACTGATAAATGTCAGGTTATTACCTAGCAGGTACTTTGCATGCTCTAGTATGGCAGTTTGGAGAATCAAATTTCCTTGCAAAACAATTTAAGCTGGTGCAAATAATCATAATACATGCATTTTTTATTTAAATTTGTCAAGAGAAACTGTCCAAAATTAGTGTAAAAATTGAATTTTAAGGATATTTTCTTCAATTTTCCACTTCCTTTCAATCAAAATGTATCCAAAGTAATTGAGTGTGTGTTTAACAAAAAAAAACTACCTTTATTAAAATTAATAGTCATACAGATGTATTTTTGGTGCAAAATTAACTGCATTTAAAACTACAAAATGGTCTATATTTTGTCCTAAAAGTTTCTCTTTTTGGGTTTCCCTATTGAAATATTACCAGAAACTGTCCATAATGAGTTTAAAATTGAATTTCAACGATATTTTTTTCAATTTTTCACTTCATTCCAATCGGAACTCACCAAAAGTAGTCTTCTAAAGTGTGCATTTGACAAAAAAGCAACCTCATATTTACATTACATTACATTTTTAATATTAGGTAGGTGCCAATAATTTAAAAAGAAGAAATTTCGTTTTCCAGGTTTTCAAAATATTGCTGTTTGGGTATTTCAATAATCATTTCTATTGCCTAGGTACTGGTCATTGATGGAAATTATTGAATCAATCAAACCTTTCCCAATCGAGAGCCGGGAATAGTCAAAAAATGGAAATTGATTAACCCAGAGGGGCTTTTCACCCAAGGAAATTGGTGTACAAATTCCTGGGAATACTTGAAAATAGCTAAAAATACTTGGAAATATTTTGGAAATACTTAGAAATGCTTAGAAATACTTGGGAATACTTCGAGGAATACCTAGAAATACTTTGAAATACTTGGTAATACATGCCGAATGATGTGAGAAAACAGTTTGTTTCTGAGCTTCCTGGAGCGCTGCTTCTTCTCATAAATTAGATAGGTGCTTTTTTGAATTTTTACAGTGGCAGTTTGTTTTATTTGATTGTGAGAACCTTGGTGAGAACCTCAGATTATTCAAAAAAGAGGGCAAAAAGCAGTAATAAGGATAATAAAGAATCTTGTATTACCATTGAATTAAATGATGGTCGAAGTATATTGGTAAGAAAGTCGCTGCATTATGTTGATTTTTTAATGCTAATAATAGTAGACTTTCTACTGACCGCATTTCTAGAGTTTAAGGGATGAGAAACCACAAAAAGTCAAAATCCAGAAAAACAGTTTTCTCTAGAGTTTCTAGCGGATCTTTGATTAAATCTTGTAAAAGCATTAAAATTCCTCACAAAAGAATTCATATTGCATCACATTGAAAAGTTACAGCTCCTCTAATTCATGATCGTGTTTTGATTCTGAGAACTTTTCTTTAAATATTATGCCATCAATTTTGATGAAGATTGGTATGTAAGCAGACTTTTAAGAATGACTAAAAAATACTGTAACATGAAATTTTTAAAAAGAAATCTAGACAATTTTGAATGGCCTTTGAGAGAGAATAGTAGAGCGATTGAGAATAAGTTTTTTTTTTTGGGCGCCCCTATCAGCCCATTCCAAGTTTTGTTGGTACCTACCTAGAGAGGTGTTTGGTTTCCTCTACTTTCAGTATACCTTGTCAAACTTAATAATATTAGGAGAATACTTGGAAATACCTGGAAATACTTAGAAATACTAAAAAATATGTTCTCAAAAATACTTTGAAATACTAGGGAATATTTGGAAATACTACTTAGAAATACTCGAAAATACATGGAAATACCGTGAAATGTTAAAAAAAATGGAAATCGGTGTACAAATTTTGGTAGGTGAAAAGCCCCTCGATTAACCCTATTTCTTAATCAAGTTGCAGTGCAATCTGATTCCTATAATCTATCTCTACTGTCAAAATAGATGTTTGCAATTCATTTTAAATCTCTCTCCAATAATTTATTGCAAAGTTTTCAATAAAAATTCACTACATTATGATTATCATTATCATTGTCATTAGAATTACAATAGCAGGCGGTCAAAACCGATGTTAGCTTCATGCACCATAATGAATTATTGTTTCAATTCTCTGTCAACACGATTTTTGAAAATATTAGTGTTTGGTGCTGAGACTGTATCTTGGCAAAGCAAATTCCAAGAATGCACTACACTGTTTACTATAAAGTTTTTCCTATGTAGTTTTGATCTTTCCTTTTCAAGCTTCTTAGAATGAGATGAAAATTTCGACATGAATGGAAAATATTTATCAGATTACATTGATTGTAATCACTGGTTATTTTGTAGGTTTCAATTATATTGCCTCTGTTCCTTCTCTCTTTAAGGAATGCCAAATAGAAATTGAGTAATCTTTCCGGATATGGCAACTGTTTCAACTGTGGGGGAATTTTTGTCACTCTGCGCTGAATCTTCTCAAGAAGTTCTATATCCTTAATGTAATATGGATTCCACACAGTATAAGCATAATATTCTACTTTTGGCCTTATATAGGGTGTTTGGAAGGTCGATGCAAAGTCTTGGAGAGGTGATAGGGGAGGTCATTTAGACCTAATTAAGCCAAATATACCTTAGTACCAAGTCTTACAGTTTTCGATTTTTTCGAACATTTTCGATTCCTTTAAAAAAATGCATTTTTTCACATTTTTCTCCTTTTATCTCTAAAATAAAAGATGACAGTTTGATAATATATTTTTTTTTCAATAGCAGAACGTTTGTCTTTTCTGAAAATGTAAAGAAGAAAAAACCACAGTGACTACAAAAAAATAAGAAAAAAATGTTTGGTAATTTTTCTTTTTACTGATAAAAAATTACTTTGTGCGAAATTGAAACTGGAAAATCCACCGGTTGCTGATAGAATGGAAATCGAGGAAAGATTTCAAAATGGAATTGGAAGATATCGAAACTGAAAAGGATATTTTTTCACCTCACCTTGCTCTACTTCCAAACTCCACTCAGCTGGCCAGCTCATTCAGGAAGTTCAGGTTCCGGTTCCATGAGTAGGAATGCAACGAAACCGTCTTGATTTAACCGGTTGCGGCAAACGAAAAACCGCGGGTCTATTTTTTCGAACCACACGAAGTGTTTTTGGCAACTGGTACTACTTGTCGGCAGGAAGTGTAAGGACTTTGCCGGTACCCTTTTTCAGTGTTTAACGCGCGCATTTTTAAAAGCCAAATCTAGCAAAGCCGTATCATTCTTAGGCATAGAGCACGCGCAATTCAATTAGAATAAAAGAAAACAAAAAATAAAGGAAAACGAATCCATTCTCAAATAGGATTTAACATCCTAAATACCCAATTTAACCTACAACTATATACAGGGTGCGTAAACGAAACTGAACATACTTTTTCTGCTGAAATGTTAGTAAGCTGATTTTATTAATAATAGTTTATCAGAAAAAGTAATTTTTGATCAGGAGAAAGAAAAATGACCAAAAATTCATTTTTTTTTTTTTTGTAGTCTGTTTGGTTTCCTGTTCTTTACATTTTCAGAAAAGACACACGTTTTGCTATTAAAGAAAAAATTAATTTCAAGGTGACATCTTTTATTTTACAGATAAAATGAGAAAAATGTAAAAAATGCATTTTTTTTTTAAAAAAAGTCCAAAATGTTCGAAAAACTCGAAAACCGTAAGACTTTGTACTGAGGTTTTTTTGGTTTAATTAGATCTAAATGACCTCCCCTATCACCTCTCCAACACTTTGCATCGACCTTCCAAACACCCTGTATAGATTTTGTGAAGGGTAGATATCATCTCGGACATTTCGATGGAGTGATCTCTAAAGGCATGGGTAATTGGGTATATACATAAGAGTTAAGTTTGCTTTTTAGTTATTTTAATTACTTATGTAATGTGATTCTCCCACTTGAGTAGGTTGTTACTACAACTCCCAGATCATTTTGTTCATTTACTGATATCAAAGAATATAACGTCTTTGTTAGGGTTATTTGGGCCAATCTTTAGTACTGTGCATTTTGAGGAGTTCAATTTGACGTTTTTGACCACACTTCAATGTTCTTAAAATCAGTTTGAAGTAGGAATTCGCATCTATCGAAGGATTTATATAGATTTAGCAATCATCTGCAAACAATTCAACACTTGATTGGATCAATTCCATCAAATCAAAAGATACACTGTGAAAAGCACCGAACCGATTACCTAACCTCTCACGACGCCGATGGTTACCCTATGGGGACTGGAAAGCATTCCATTAACTCTCACTTGAAAAAATCTATCTTCTAGCAGATCTTTGATTAAGGCAAGCAACTCTCCTCTAACTCCAAAATGCTCTAATTAATTTCACTAATAACAGTACGTTATGTGGGACTTTGTCAAATGCTTTTTCATAATCTAGATAGATAACGTCTGTTGGTAGGCCAAATATTGGTAGTAGTAGAACGTTTTGGTCGAAATCCATGTTTTTAACAATAATATATTTACTGCTGGCCACACTTAATTACTTGGAAATCTTATTAGTCGAAGGAATTTACTTTAATTATGAACACTTAATAAAAAACTCGAATATTTTCGCGCTGTTATTTCACGTCGTGCTTCTTCTCTCGGTTAATTCGACAACTCTTTCACGCCGTAGTTCTGACTTTCTGGACACAGGTCTCTCGATTCTGGATTACTACTTGTTTCTTGATTACTCAACCGACACTGGTCTTTCACGCCGTAGTTCTGCCCGTTTATTAGCTCTTTCTCGAACACTCTTTTCTCGAACTCTGGTTTTCTCCTGCCAAAGTTGCCTTTTTATATCATTGGTCCCTTCATTGTCTTGAATTTCTTTATTGTTTCTGATCTCGATTTTTCGTGATTGAATCGTCCGATCAATTAGTGTATTTGGTCCCCTTTTAATTAATTATCAAGGGCGTCGCTAAGTGGTTTGTTAAGTGGGTATCATCATATAGGCTCGTGCATGATTTATTGATCCTTTTAGAAATTTTTCGGCTCCTTTGGAATGTTAATTATTGAAAGCACTTAAAAAAAAAGGTCCATGAACTTTTGCTTTATTCACATTCCAATATATTAATCAATAGGTAAAGAGTATCGGCTTTCAATAATTCAGATAATTTTTAATTGAAGTTTCCTGGTTGTGCTGTTTAAGTGATGATCAACTATAATTTTCTCCATACATTTCAGCGGCTTACAAATAAGACTAATAGGGCGATAATTTTCTGGTCTATGTTGATATCCTTTTTTGTACAGTGGCATGACAATGGAATATTTCCAAGGAGCTGGAATTTTTGTTTGAAGCATACATTTCTGCATCGCCCTCGCAAGCAATGGGCTAATTGTGGCACTAAGAAAAACTGTTGGGATTTCATCAGGTCCTAGGCTTGACTCTTTTTATAGATTTCAGAGCTTGTTCTACTTTATCAGTTGTAAATTGTATTTCTTCGATAGACCTCTCTACTCTATTGTCATGCAGGATTGGAGCCGGATAAGCTTCAGTTGTAAAAGCTGTGTCAAATTACTCTGCAATGGCTACACCATCCAAAAACTGCTTAGATGCAGGATCAAGGAATTCAAGTTTCGACTTATATACTTAAACAGTTTTTTTGGTGAATCCGCATTCGCAAGACCATTTTCATACTTTCTCCGAGCATCAAGCAACTTCTGTTTAGTTTTGTTACTCTGTAACATGTAAGCTTGGTAATTGTTTAGTGTTTTGTATTTCTCCACTGCACACTGGAAGTTCTCGAATTGTGGATCTACTTGTCTTGTCGGTTGGAGTCTGCTGAAGTTATTTATTTCCTCATAATTGTCAGAAAATTTCTTCTAGTTATTTTTTGTGTTTGTTTAGGTGGAATTTATAAATGTTTTCGCCTTAATCACCACATGATCACTGCGGCCAATGGGAGGTTCTGTAGAAAGATCAAAGATGCTTTTAGGATCATTAGTGAGAAAAAGGTCCAGAAGTGATATCTGATTATTCCTATACCTTGTTGGAAAATCCACAATTTCATGCACATTTGTTTCCCAATTTATGTTTGGGTAGTTGAAGTCTCTCACAATATAAATGGGGTGTTTTAGGGTACCTAGGCCTTTTTTATACTATTTGTCATAAGTGTATTGGCTTCCTCACTGGTCGTAGAACCTTGCCTATAAATGGATATTTTTATACTTCCTGTGTGAACATCTAACCAAACTGCATCAATTGGTGCTTCCATTCTGTAATTGCTTGATCATTTTATTTGAAGAATTCTCATGTTGGACTGGTTTCTGATGGCATCAATCCGAGAGTCTTTCACCTTTGATCTTCAAGTTGTTGAGGATCATGATGCTATACAAATTAAATGTTCCATTGTCCCTTTTATAGTGTTGGAGGTGGTACTACATGGCACTCTTCAGGCTTAATAGGAGTTTTCAAACCCAGCCACTCGCAAGTGACTCTCACAAAATCAAGCGTCGCCTTGTACAAAGAACTGGAAAGCAAAGGCCTGACAACGGGCTGGAAACAATGCGGAAGCCTCAATTTGGCCAGGACCAGAGATAGACTGGTGACTTTTAGGCGAATGAAAGCGCAATCTGCGTAAGACGTGGCCTTATTTTTGCCGGTTTGATTTCCAGAGTTTTTTCTTTAGGGCCTGGAAAATTGATTGTGAAATTTTAACGCCAGATCAGTGCAAGGATAAGTGTCCGCTTTTGAATGTTGATGATTTGTATGGTGGTATTTGGATACCAGGAGATGGTGTTGGAGATCCTTATGAAACTTGCATGTCGCTTGTTGGTGAAGCCAAAAAAATGGGTAATAATTTTTTTGTACATACAATTAATTAATCTTCAAAGTTACTTTTATAGGAGTTCAGGTAATTGAAAATTGCTCCCTAAAAAAAGTCATACAAGACAATGGTAAAGTGGCAAGTGTTGAAACAACTTTGGGCTTGATAAAATGCGATTTTTTTGTTAATTGCGCTGGGTTTTGGGCCAGGGGTATAGGACAAATGTCGGAACCTTACGTTAAAGTACCTTTACACGCTGTCGAGCATTATTTTTTACATACCAAACCTATACCTGGCTTAGATCCAATGACACCAGGTAACACCTAACTATTAATAATCCAAAAATCAAACATTAAAATTTTAGTTGTAAGAGATCAAGACGGTCATATTTACTTCAGAGAAAATAACGGACGTTTATTAGCTGGAGGGTTTGAGCCTGTAGCAAAACCCGCCTTTGAAGATGGAAAAATTCCTGGTAAACCACAATCAATTAACAATAATTTATTTATCTACAATCACTATTATTAGTTAGCCCTAAAGACAGACAACTACCAGAAGATTGGGATCATTTTCACGTCCTACTCGAACAACTCCTGCACCGTGTACCAACCTTAGGCAGCGCTATTTTAGATAAACTATGTAACGGGCCTGAAGCGTTCAGTCCCGATTGTAAATGGATAGTGGGCGAAGCCCCAGAAATATCAAACTATTTGGTTGCAGCTGGAATGAAGACAGTAGGCATTTCAGCAGCGGGCGGTGTAGGCAAAGCGACTGCAGAACTAATCATAAACGGAGAGACTGATTTCGATATGTACGAGCTGGAAGTTTCGCGATTTCTGGGTCTCCACAATAACAGAAAGTTTTTGAGGGATCGAGTCAAAGAAGTACCTGGATTGCATTACGGCATGAATTATCCTTTTTACGAGTTTCAAACTGGCAGGAATTTGAGGATGTCTCCGGTGTATCCGAAATTGCGAGAAGCCGGAGCAGTTTTTGGACAAGTTATGGGCTACGAAAGGCCTACTTGGTTCGATCCTGAATTAGTTGGAGAACAGGAAACTTTTGATTATTCTGCTCCTTATAGAATAGCTTATACTAATACTTTTGGTAAACCTCCTTGGTTTGATTATGTGGCAAAAGAATACGCTGCTTGCAGGGAAGGTGTAGGTATAAGCGATTATTCTTCATTTACCAAAGTTGACTTCTGGTCTAAAGGCAATGAAGTTGTCGATGCTCTTCAATTTATTTGTTCAAATGACGTGGACGTTCCTATTGGAAGTATTATACATACTGGTATGCAAAATAGGCGAGGGGGTTACGAAAATGATTGTTCTCTGGCTAGATTATCACAAAACCAGTAAGCAATTGCAATAAAATAATTTCAATTACTCAAAATGTCTTTGTTAGTTACATGATGATCGCTCCAACAATCCAACAAACTCGCTGTAAAGTCTGGCTACAAAAACATCTACCACCAACTGTTACTATCTCAGATGTCACCAGCATGTTTACAGCCTTGTGCATCATTGGCCCTTTTACCAGGACTTTGTTGTCTGAACTCACAGACACCGATTTGAATCCTAAAAATTTCCCATTTTTCACATTTAAAATGTTGGATATTGGATTGGCTAATGGTATTAGGGCCATGAATTTGACTCATACTGGAGAATTGGGATATGTTTTGTATATTCCTAATGAAGTAATGATAAATTTTTGATTGGAATTTGTTCTATTATCGATTATTTTAGTTTGCTCTTCACGTATATACGAGCTTAATAGATGCTGGGAAAAAGTATGGGATAACTCATGCCGGGCATTATGCTACTCGTGCCCTTAGAGTGGAAAAGTTTTACGCCTTTTGGGGGCAAGATTTGGACACTACCACTACGCCGCTAGAATGCGGTAGAGTTTGGAGAGTTAAGTTTGATGTATGTATTTTTGTTGTTGTGACTATTTTTGATAGGATATTGATAATAGAAAAAAGTCGACTTTATTGGAAGAGACGCCTTGCTGAAGCAACGAGATGAGGGTGTCAAAAGAATGTACATTCAGTTATTGCTAGAGGACCACGATATGGAAACTGATTTGTGGCCATGGGGTGGAGAACCTTTTTATCGCAATGGAAAACAAGTGGGAATGTGTACTACAACAGGATATGGGTTTACTTTTAAAAAACAAGTAGGGATTGGGAGTGTTTTACATATTATATATGATAGATTTTAGATCAGTTTAATCAGAAAGTTAATTATTTCCAGGTATGTCTAGGATTTGTAGAAGACATTGACGAAAAAGGCGAAAGACAAAAAGTCACCAACGATTTTATAAATAACGGTCATTTCGAGGTGGACGTTGGCGGTATAAGGTACCACGCCAAAGCCAACATTCACTCACCCATTTTACCTACAAAATATCCAGATATGGAGCGTGACGTTTATAGAGCTACCAGGGATAAAAGTGAAGAGCACAAAGATACTGCTAACCAAATAGTTAAAGCTATTTAAAAAAAACCAATAGTCACAAATAAAAATATACTCGTACAAATCATAAATAGTCTATTTGTTTTTAAAGTAGGTAGATTTATATTAGCCAAAATGTGATGTTTTTTAAGCCAACAATTCAATAAAAATGCAGAAAAACTCCATGAGCAATATTTATTCATTATTATTTTCACAAAATTATCCTAGTGATCAGTCCAGCTGCGATAGTGACGCCTCCTACTCTCAACATGACCCTCCCCAATTCTTTACAGTCACTATAAACTTCGAGGGCAATCAGTTTGGAGACTGTAATTTCAACTATAGCACTAGAGTTTTTAGTTAAGAATCTAGGATGCTTTTTTTGAAGTTCTCCAGTACTTTTGTTCAGTTGCGAAGTTAATTTGCTCACAACTGCAGGTTCAACAAGAGACTGATGATGCAATATGATCTGTTTAATAATAATAATTAACAATAAATTTATTTATTATTATTAGTTCTTACTGAGTATCCTTTAGTGATTGGTAAAGATATATTAAAAACCACAATCCTGGCTTCAAATTTATTTGAAACAGGAACAGGGGTTTGTAGGTGGCATAAAATATTGCCTATAGAAACGTTTTGCATGTCAATGCCTGCTAATGTTATGGTAGCTTGATCACCTAAGAAATTACCTCATGGGGATAAGAATTAAATTAATTGAAAATGCTAATACCTGCAAAAGCCACTGTTTTAGGGCTTTCATCAACTGATAAAGATTTTACATTTGCCTGCTCCCTATTTGGACAAACTAGGACTTTGTCTCCTATGTTTACTACTCCAGTTTCTATCCTTCCATCCACACAAAATCCTGAACCGGTACCCTAAATTTTAATAAATGAATGGTTGACAATATATAAAATGGCAATTATTACCTTAAAAACATCATTAATAGAAAACCTAAAAGGTTTAGTAACAGGCCTAGATGGGGACCTAAATTTATCTGCAATTAAAATAGTTTAAATAATTGATTATATTATATTTCAAATTGTCTACCAATCACATCAATTAAACAAGGCCCATTGTACCATCGCAAAAGTTCATTTTCAGTGGGTGCCTTAATTAAATTTTGCCCAGTTAAACCGCTGCAAGGTACAAAAGTGACATCGCTCTCTTTGAATCCTGCCTGCTTCAAAAAACTTTTCAACTTTTGAAGAATTTCCTCAAATCTGTCTTGCGACCAGGAAACCGTGTCCAGCTTATTTATTGCCACAGCCAATTGGTTTACACCTAATGAACGGACCAAAAAGGCGTGCTCTCTGGTTTGCCCGCCCAAATCAAATCCAGTTTCGAATTCTCCTCTGGTTGCGTCAACCACCAAGAGACCCACGTCAGCTTGTGCAGCTCCAGAAATCATATTGGGAATGAAGTCTTTGTGGCCTGGAGCATCCAGGAGGGTTACCTAAATGTGACTCATTAATATAAGGGGGTGTTAAATAAGGGGTTTTTAGCACTTGTTTAGATTTGGTTTCAAATAAAAACCTTCCAACATCCATGGTGATGCCTCTGTTGCGCTCTTCGCCAGTTTCATCCAAAACCCATGCATACATGAAGCTTTGTTTTCCTACTTTTTTACTGTCCTGTTCGTATTTGTGCATAGTTTTTTTGTTTACCTACAGTTTTTAATTGTATAAGTTTGCAAATTGAAAAAAAAAAGTCTTACTTGTCCTAATTCACAAAGTAAGCGTCCCATGAGAGTACTTTTTCCAGCATCCACGTGACCAATTACCACCATATACAAATGCTCCTTTCCATTGCCGCGTTCTTTTCTATATTGAATTTCTGGATCGATTTTGGCTTCCCTTCTACCAACTAGAAAATCGAAAATGCATTTTTTTAGGAAATTATTCGAAATATTGGGAAATTTTTCGAAACTATAGAAAATTTACTGAAATTTTTATAGGAAATTAAGACATTTTCACCAGAAATCTTTGAGAATTTTTGTGTTACGAATATTGTTTAGTTCCTGTTCAGTGTTTTGTGAATAAAAATACCTAACTGCTAACAAAATAAAGATAAGTAATTATGTAAAAACACATCTCATAAACTATGGAAGTCAAGCTTCATGTTGTTATTTTCTACTCGAAAAAATATAAAATTTTGGGAAAATGAGCTTCCTCATTAAATGCAGAAGGTTTCAAAATTTTCCCTGTCTGTACTAGTTTTCCAGATAAAATGTGAAATGTGTGAGACTGTATTCTCAATTAATTCAGTTATTGTTACCTAGTTGATTTTCAATATTTTGCATGTTGTTATTTTCCACTGGAAAAATTTGAAATTTTGGGAAAATGAATTCCTTCACATGCAAAAAGTTCCAAAATTTTGCCTCTATTGGTTTTCCAGGAAAACTTTAAAATGTGTGAAACAGTATTTTCAAATAATTAAGTTTTTGTAGGCTGATTTCCAAGATTCTTCATGTTGCTAATTTCCACTGGAAAAATTTGAAAACCTTTGCTCCCAACATGGATTTGAATGCTACATTCAAGATACTGTTCATATTTGGTCCAAATTAGAAAATCGCCTACTGAGAAAAAATTATTGGTCATTAGAGAATGGAGATTACATATTTTCAGTAAATCATTTTAATATGGGAATTGGAAAACACCGAGGAAAACATAATAAAAGTGAACATTTATTAGTTAGTTCTGACATTGTTCCAGAAGATAGGATGAACTTTTCCGTGAAAAGGTACAAAATCTCCTTAAAAATGACCCTGAGTGCAAAGGAACTTCAAGCTACTTGAAGTTGATACAAATTTTAAGTTTAGGTATATAAAGGACCCTGCAATATTTAAATGGGAATTGGTTACCTGTGATATTTGGATAAAATTTAAATATGTTATTGGGGATGCTGTAAGCAACATTTTTTACCTTGGGTACAATCCTGTATATATGACAGGTGAGGCGTGGTTAGCTGTCAAATATTGGAATCTTATATCCAAAAGCAGAATAACTATGGCAGATTTTGATGAACAAAAAATCTATTTCTACTAAGTCGAAAAATGTCAACCATTTTGACACCTGTCAAAACCCTGCCAAACGGCAGCACTCATTTTTTCCAGTTTTCAATATTTTATGATGTCATTTGACATTGTTAACTTGTATGTAAATACTGAATTCAAAATTTGAATAAAAATTACATCATTGTGGATTTCATTTGTAAGTGTCAAAATGTTTGAGTACTTTAATGATTTCATTATAGTACTATAAATACTATAATGACTGTACTATAATGACTAATGAAATTAAATCCTTTATACTAAAACGACATACCTACTTTAAAATGAAAATTGACATCTCTGTCAAAATCTGAAACCTGCGTATAATGTTTTTTCATGCGTTTTCATAAATAAGTCTAACCTAAATTGAAAAAGAACTAGATTTGATTATTTTTTGAATTAAAGCTATTGACAGATTCTGAAAGCTGTCAAAATGTGACGTGCATGAACTTTGTTCAATGTTTTATTACCAATAAACTACCTTAAAACGAGAAAAAACCAGATTAGAGTATTTTTTTCTACTAAAACAAATGACAGGTTTTGACAGTTCTGTCATTTTTTTTTAATTTTTGAATTCAGAATTTACATACAAGTTAAAAATGTCAAATGACATCATAAAATATTGAAAACTGGAAAAGATGAGTGCTGCCGTTTGGCATGGTTTTGACAGGTGTCAAAATGATTGACATTTTTCGACTTAACTTGGTCGACTTAGTAGAAATAGATTTTTTGTTCATCAAAATCTGTCATAGTTACTCTGCTTTTGGATATAAGATTCCAATATTTGACAGCTAACCACGCCTCACCTGTCATATATACAGGGTTGTGCCCATGGTAAAAAGTGTTGCTTACAGCATCCCCAATAACATACTTAAATTTCATCCAAATATCACGGGTAACCAATTGCCATTTAAATATTGCGGGGTCCTTTTTGAATCCGGGTTTACTTATTTTCAAATTATTGAAAAGGGAACTAGACACATTCGTATGGCCTATGCTAAGGTTCAGATTCAATTTATTACTTTTAGGAAAAGGTCCATTCTCGAGTCTATTTATAATAAAAAGAAATAATATACCCTCAATATTGTGAAACAATATACATAGGTATCTAAGTTGTTTGAAATATCAAATACAGGTTTAGGTTAGTTTAAACCTCGGTTTAAACCCCTGCATTTTGGATTACCGGGAACCAATCATTAGTTTTAGCTCTAAAGTCAACTAACCTAACCTTGCATTTGATGCTACTTGATAAACTGCTCTTGTGTTTTAACACTAGAGGCCGGTTTATTCACCTTCTGATAAACCGTCAGGTAATCCCATCTGACAGATGAAACACAATTTGTAATCCCATTGGTTGGCCAGTTATTCCTTGACCAATAAGATTATGAAATGGGTAAATTTATCTTATGGATAGTTACCAGCAAGTTTATCTGGAAATGAATAAACTGAGCCTATGCAAAATAAAGATTTTAAAAAATAAACTTATCATGAGCAATTATGAAGACTTTCAGGGAATTTTTAAGAGGCATTTGTGGGGAATTTGAGAGGAGTTTGCATCAGTTTGTGGGAATTTGCAGGGAACTTAGAGGAATTTGAAGGAATTTTGGGAAACAGCAAACATATTTCAGCAAAAAAATGTTCATTTCTAGAAAAATACAGTAAATATTGTGAAGATGTTCGGAAATTTTGGAGAAAAATGAAAAATCTCTCAAAAATTTTGAAAATTATCAATTTTTTTTTTCAGAAATGTCAAAAATTTCATAGGAAATCTGTAAATATTCGGGAAATTATTCAGGAAATTCCATAAATTATTTAGGAAATTTTAGAAATTATAGGAAATACTTGAAAAAATTCTGAATATTCAGGAAATTTTGGAAATTATGGAGAAAATCAGGAAAACATTTCCAAAAAGGAAATGGGTGTTCAAAATTTAAGAGCGTGAGACACCCCTTGGGTATAGATTTATTTAGATAATCAATAAATTGTATACTTGTTGTTAATAAACGATTTTCAAAAAAAATTGCACAATAATTTGATGTAGCTCACCTCTTGGTTCTTCCCCTTCAGCACTGGTACCGGAAACAGGCGTGCCTCTGCCAGAAGCAGGACTTTGAGACCTTGGACTACCACTATTGAACTTAAACGAAAAATCTAATCCTTTTTGAGGGGTTTCCGCATTCCTCTGCTGATTGACTTCTTGAGGTAAGTCAAAGCCTTTAACCACGTTGGTAGCGGTGGCAGTGGAGGCTACCACTTTTGCTGTAGCCAATGTTGGTGGAACCAATTGGACTGCGGCAAATCAAAGAAAAATAAATCAACTTTTGATTTTTAAAACATTTATTTACAATTTAAAATAACTTAAATCTATGTCAATGTAGTATTTTGTCTTTTTTTCAAAAAAGACTTAATATAATCGTCAGGTGATTGAGTGTGGAACATAAAAATTCTAATTTGATTGGTTTGAATGGGATATTTGAATTCCAAGGAAGTAAGGCTTTCATGTTTCTTGTGCCTATACTTTCTGCAAAGTACTTTAGCCAATTTTGAAGGTTTTTTGCTAATTTTATCATTATTAATTAATGTTTTACTAATATCCAATGTGCAAGGAAGGAGTTTTATTTTGGTTAAATTATTTGTAGCTTTCCTACTGACCAAGTCGCCATCAATAAAAGGAATTTCAAATTTTTCCACTATTTTGTTTTTTGAAAAAATTGGCAAGCTACTTGTAGCCTTTAAAGCTACAGACAAGTCAATGTTGAAATTATTTATTGGCTCATTGGAAGCTAGCGATTTGGATTTTACAGGTGGCTCAGATAAGCTTATTTCTGAGACTTTTTCAACAACCAAATCTAGATTTTTAGTTTTCAAATGACTAGAAACCAATTCTGATAGGGTATCGAAATTTTCATTGTTTGAGGGTTTATTAGTAGAAGAGGCACCAAAAATACTAGGAATAACGAAATTATTGGCTTGCTTATTGAATGATTTTTGGGTGCCAAATATATTTGGCACAATGAAACCCTTTGATTGACTTTTAAATAACATCTTACCTTCCAAGGAGAACATGAAAAAGAAAAAAAAAAGTTTAATAATCATTGATTCAACTAAAATATTTATTTACCTTTATCTTTAGCTGCAGGATTTGATTTGGAATTCTCCAAAATAGCATTTATAACCAGCTCAACGTTGAACTTATTTGTTAATATCAAATTGACCAGTTGACTTTTTGGTACCCCAACGTGTCCCAGAGTATCTTTCACTTGATCAATGCAGGAATTGAGTTTTGCCTTGTCCGTGTCTGACAACTCGTCGAATTCGTCCACTTCCTGGATGTCATCTTCGTGTTCAAATCTGGAATCTCTTGAGTTTTCTCTGTTGTAGATGAATTGTCTGTTGCTTGGCGATATGTAGTAATCGTCGTCTACAGAGTGTCCGTATATGTCGTCGTAGCCATCGTATTCTACAGTAGGTAATAATAATTATTGGGATTTTAGTTAGGGTATAATTCAGGATTTAACATAAGTGAATGTTTTGCTTTGTTAATGAATCTTCGGTAATTATCTATTATCCGTTACCCTCTCCAAATTTGATGATTTTTTGTAGGATGGTATATTTTGTTTTGTGTTATTGTGTCGCAATTGGCTTTTGACATTATGTTTAGTAACTATGTAATCAGCAATAGCGATATTAAGCTGGTAAGGATACATAATAATAATCATCCATCTGTGTCAAAGGTCGACAAGAGAATTTTTATAAGTTGTTATATAAGTGTTCTAGTAACTTATAAAGTCCCAACTTCTATGAAATTATCCCGCAGTTATTTCATTTAGATATCACTTCAAGAATGGTTTCCATTCGAAAAAAAAGGCGGAATAATTAGTCTCCTACATATACCTGGCATATGCCTACCTAATGTTTATTATTTTTTTATCAATTTGTCAGTGGAAAGTCTAGGTGGACAAGTTAGTTTGCATATTTTTATTCAATATTACCATACAAGGACTAGTACGCATTACCTGGACTGGTTAGTTTGCATACTTTTGGTTAGTTTGGTTACAGTTTGTTTAATACTGGTTATAACTGTAGAGAAAGTCAATTCTCAACAGTTTTGGATATGTGTGTTTCCCATTTGAGATCATTTATGATGTAAACACCAAGGTATTTTGGTTCTGATACATCTCTTAGCTCAACATTGTTTATTTGGTAGGGGTTTCGACCAATATGTAGAACTATACACTTACTTTCATTCAGCTTTAGCTGCAAAGTGTTTGTCCACATTTGTATGGTGTTTATGTCATTTTTTAGATGCTGGACTTGCGTCCTTGGTAAAAAACGTTGCTGTGATGCTGGAATTATGTTGTTTTCTAGGACGAATACTTGTAGTTTCCTTATCGTCGTATTTATCTCTACCCTTGTAAATTGGGATGATAATTGTTTGCTTCCAGATGTCAGGTAGGGTACCCTCGTTAATTGAGAGCTGAAGAGCTGCATTAACCTACTCTGTAGTGAAATCGATTAGAGCTAGTTCATTTGGCTTTCAATTGGAAGGCAGGGAAAACTATTTGGCATTTTCTCTGGCGAAGACAGAGTGGAATTGTTCAGCAAATATGTTTGCTATTTCCTGGGAATCTTGTAGAACTTGCTGGTTTACAGTGTTTTTGAGAATCAAGGTCATGCAGATGGCTGTTTAGATTTTTTTTGGGTTTCCTTGACTTGTTTTTGGTGGTATTCGTTGCGTTATTAATTCAGGGATTCCATTGACATATCTAAGTTACATCTGGTTCATTAGGTCTTTGTTTCTCTAGTTCAGTGCTATTATAAGTATGGTTTCTTTGGACAGTAGTCTGATCTGGTTTGAGGTAGTGGTGCGTCCCTTCCAACTTTGCTTTAGAATGTTTTACACTTCATATTTTATGCTCAGAGTAATTTTAATGGGTTTGACTTTATTTGGGTCATGAATCCATAGTCTTGAAACTTGTCTTTATTAATATTAGTTATTATAATAAGCTAGGACCACTTTTATTTATTATCTTTATTATCAGCACATCAGGTATTCCACAGGGGTCAAATCTGGGTCCACTCTTGTTTTTGATCGAATTTAACAGGGTATTGTTGGGAGTAAGGAATATTGAGTCACTTGGTTTTGCTGATGATTTGAAGTTGTTTTTTGAAGTCTCATCAATCATGGATTGTGTAGTGCTCCAGAGAGAATTGTCTGATATTGTCGCATTGTGTTCTGAGAATAGTTTCAAGTTGAACTTTGATAAATCTGTATGCATGTCATTTACACACAATAAAAATCCTGTCATTTATGATTATTCTGTAGGTAATGTGAAACTGAAAAAAGTGTCTGAGCAAAAAGATCTGGGAGTTATTTTTGATCCTGCTTTGTCTTTCTCAGGACATAAAACTTTTTAGTGCTCAGAAGGTATCAGGTTTCATTACAAAAAACACAAAATGTTTTAGTATTAGCATTAGCTTATCTCTCTTTGACAGTCTTGTTGTGCTCATCTTAGAATATGGCAGCGTAATATGGTCACCCCAATACCATAATTGGAGTGAAATTATAGTAAGTGTGCAGCGAAAATTCTTCAAATGTCTGTACTTCAGAAAGTTTGGAGTTTATCCCCAGCGTGGCTGTAGCAATGACTATTTGTTGGGTGTGTTCAGTAGACTGTCACTGAAGAAAAGGCTGATAAGAATATTCTTATGCACCATGTATGGGGTTTTGACCAATAATATTGACTGCCCAGGTATTTTGGAATAGCTTCCTTTTGCTGTAAATCGTATTAATTCAAGGAGTAAAAATGTCTTTTACTTGGCCTACCCCGGAACATAGTCTAAGCCCGGAACCAATCTTTATAAGTGATCTCCGATCTATTTAACCTTTATGCCTCAGATATAGATATAAAGGAATTCAAAATGATAATTGACAGGAAACTGCATTCATCCTAAATTGTATTTCTCTGTATGTTGTGATTGATCAACTTTGTTGAAATTGTAAGTAGGTTTTAAGAGTATGTTAAATGTTATTTGTATTCTTGTGTTATTACTATCAAGTCAGTATTGTAATTGGCTTGGTTGTTGATACTTTGAATAAATAAATAAATAAATGATTTACGATCTTCTGTAACCACATCAGCTAGCTTGTATGCAGATGATTTCAAACTGTTTAGACCAGTATTATTATGTGATCAATACTGTAATGATCTCAAGTCTGATTTGAACCTTGTGGTTAATTGGTTTTGTATGAATAAGATGTCCCTCAATGTTGATAAATGTTCAGCTGTTACTTCTACTCGAAAACAAAATAACAATATGCACGATTACTATGTGGATGGTGTATAATTGAAGAGAAATAGTAAAGTCCTAGTCAACATTAAAATTAAATAATATTTTTATTTTGGAATTGTGAATAGGGCTTATAAAGTGTTGGGCTTTGTATTCCAAAACAGTGGGAGTTTCAGTATTGAAACAATAATAAAACTGTATAATGCCCTTGTGAGACCTCATTTGTAGTATGCATCGAATGTATGGTCACCAACAACAGCAATAGGTATAGATCTAATAGAGAAAGTACAGAAGAGATTTTTAAGGTTTCTTTATGTAAAAAAAATAATGCATTATTCGATGTTGATAGGTTTTAATATACAAAAACTCTCTACAAGAAGAGATAGACAAGCAATATTGTTTATATACTGTATTATTGATAATGTTAGGTACAGAGATTGTTTCATTGTGAATCATATTAGGTTTAAGGTATCAGAGGCTAGGCTGAGAATTGTAAATAAGGATTTGTTTTATGTTTGTAATAATTTTTCCCCGATCAATAATATGTTGAATTTGTTTATTAACGGACTTGCCATTTAGCACTACCACACTTTGAATTTGCCAGCTCACATATTCTGGACATAGGACTATTTAACCCACAGTTAGTACTATGAAAACCTATTGCAAATAAATCATACTGCCAATCATACCATTCACAATTTTGAACAAAGTAAGTATATCAAATTGAGTCCTTCTAACTTCCAAAAGTGGTAAATTCAACTTTCCATACAAATGTTCATAATTAATATCTTCCATGGGAATTCCCAGTTTAAATAGTTCTCAAAAATCGTCTTTGTACCTTCTCCAAAGAATATAAACATTATAATTTGAAAATTAGGCTGGACTAGCATACTCCAACACTGATCTTACAAAACTACAATACAGTATTCTAAAACAAGTGACATCACAAAAATCAGTAAGTGTTCTATTTACAAAGCCTAACAACATGATGTTGACTATGTACCATCGTCACCAAAAGTATCTGGGACACAAATAATGCATAATAATCTCCTGGACTAATTCTACTGTCATTCATTTCAATGCATTTAATTCATAGTTTGACAAATATTTGACAACAAAATTCATGTAATAGGACAAGAGCTAATGTGATGCTGTCCCAGTTACTTTTGGTGACGATGGTACAATAACTTGTTGGAGGTCTATAAACCTAGCAGTCCCAAGGTGGAAAAAAACTTCGGGAACTATATAATAATTAGGTGCTTTTTATGTGCTAATCAGGGCCTCTAATTAAAAATTAGGTGCTTCTTTAGTTTTTGAGAAAATCAAAAAAAACTAAGGGACTGCTAGGTTTATAAAAGCTAGCAGTCCCCTATAGTAAAAAATATTTTTTCAAATTTTTTCTTTGTATCAGAATTAGGTGCTTTTTAGGTGCTCCTAAATAGTGATTTTCTCAAAAACTAATTTTCAATTAGAGGCCCTAATTAGCACCTTATTATTATATAGTTCCCGAAGTTTTTCTCCACCTTGGGACTGCTAGGTTTATAGACCTTATTGAAACAGCATTTGGTGCCTGATTTTTGTGGCTTGAGTCTGAGACATATTTAGGAACTGCTTAGGAAAAGTATTATTCTTTAGAACTTAAACATGTGCTTTATTCTTTCTTTTACATTTTTGTTTTTTAATTATTTTTTGTTCTGTTTTTTTTTAATTGTTTTTGTTTTTACTACTCCTTTTCCTCTTACTACTCCAAGAGGGGTGTTTGGAAAGTGTATCTCTAAATAGCGAAATCAGAGAGGATAGAAGAACATAATAGACCTGATGATGGATAGGTATCTCTGAATTTAAGATTTTAGATAAGAGACTAAAAATATACCTACCTGGAGTACCTACCTACCTTCCAGAGCTGGGAGTATCGACAAAAAAAAGTTACTTTACTTTAACGAGTTTTGAAAGTAACGCGTTACTTGGTAACTTCGTTACTTTTCAGATTGATTGATAAATAACTGTAACGGCGTTACTTTCCTGAAGTAACGCTGGAAGTAATGCGTTACTATTTACTATGAAAGTAACTCGTTCTCTCAATTTGTTTATCTTCTTTACAAATAATTGACGAGTGAGGAAAAGGAAAATAAGTAATCCAAAAACTTTGTATGTCAAATAAAATGTTGG